GGAGAGTGAACCAGTGGTTGGAAGACTATTTCTCTCTCTCTTTCAAATAAAATGGGAAATGAGTAAATAAATAAAAAAAATCTTATGTATACAGATATAGCATTACACTGGGCATTGCCAGCCGCCCTCCGTAGTAGGCAGAGTGGGTGGGATTAATCCTCTTTCATGGATGTGAAAGTGGAGACACAAAGAGTTCAAGGACTTGCGCAGAATGAAGCTTCTGTTCTTAATTCTTCTGATAGTTAGCTGTGATCTCCATGGAAGGTCTCATAGAGCTTAATTTCTTGGCAGAAATTCTTAAAATCAATTCCTGGATTGTGCTCTGAAAATTTTGGAGGTTAAAGAGAGGAATCAGGGTTTTTAGAAATGATGTATCACCTGTGTGATGGCCCCATGTCGCCCCCTTATGACACTTTCGATATTTGCAAAATTCTTTGCTGAATTAGTCTTTCATTAAAATGAGACAGATAAAACAAGATTTATAGCATTAGCCTTTCCCAGGATGACATATTCTTTTACTATTTCCATATATTAAATCAACTTACTGAAATTTAGCTGAATTGAAGGAAATTTGCTTATGAGTAAGGATACAGAAAACTTTTCTGTCCTCTTCCTCCCTCCCTCCCTCCCTTCCTTCTCGCTCTTTCTCTGTCTGTCTCTTCAATTTGAAAGGCAGAATGACAGAGAAGTAGATGTATAGAAAGATCTTGAATCTGATGGTACACTCCCCAAATGATTGCAATGATCAGGGCTGTACCAGGCTGAAACCAGGAGCCAGGATCTTTATCTTGGTCTCCCACTTGGGTGGCAGGGACCCAAGCACTTGGGCCATTTCTGCTGTTTCCCAGGCACATTAGTAGGGAGCTGTATCAAAAATGGAGCAGCCCAGGACTTGAACTGGCGCTCTGGTGCTCTGGTGATACAGGATGCTGGCATTGCAGGTTGCAGGTGGCCTAACGTGTTGCACCACCTGCTGCTTCCTGTGCTAGTTTTCAACTACATTTCACTGCCTCCTTCATCTACCTCCCCAGCACTGACCATCTGGCATGTTAAAAAAATGCATCTAGCAAAGTGGGGTGGTGATTTCAATACTTTACAAAACTTCAGGGTTAAGACAGTGGCTTGTTTTATGTTAGTGAGATTTTTGGGAATTTGGTTGATTTTTTTAATGGATTTTAATTTCAGCACTGCTATGTGGTGGCTGCATAGCCTTGGCTATGAATTCTTAATTTCGGTGGCATGTTCCAATACCATCTCACTAGTCCCGGTGATCAATTTCTGTTCACAATTGATCATAGTGATAGGACTAAGAGCCAAAGGGAGCACATAAACAAGACTAGTGTCTGCAAATACTAGCTGATAGAATAAAAAAGGGAGAGAATGATCCAACATGGGAAGCGAGATACACAGCAGACCCATAGAATGGCAGATGTCCTAAACAGCACTCTGGCCTCAAAATCAGCCCTTAAGGCATGCGGATCTGGCTGAAAAGCCCATGAGAGTATTACAGGCATGGAAAGCCAAAACACTCTGGCAAAAAACAAACAAACAAACAAAAAAAACAAACCCTACATGAAAGATCTCCGCGAGTGAGATCCCAGTAAAAAGAATGGGTCATCAAAGAAGGAGGTACCTTTCTCTGAAGGGAGGAGAGAACTTCCACTCTATGACCTTGCCTAAATATGATCAGAGTCGGTGAACTCAAAAGGCTTCCATAGCCTTGGCAGCTCATGACAAGAGCCTAGGGTGATTACTGATGCCATAAACAAGAGTGTCAATTTGTTAAGTCAACAACAGGAGTCACTGTGCACTTACTCCTCATGTAGGATCTCTGTCCTTAATGTGCTGAACATTGTGATTTAATGCTATAACTAGTACTCAAACAGTATTTTTCACTGTGTGTTTCTATGTGGGTGCAAACTGTTGAAATCTTTACTTAATATATGCTAAACTGATCTTCTGTATATAAAGAGAATTGAAAATAAATCTTGATGTGAATGGAAGGTGGGAGGGAGAGGGAAAGGGGAGGGTTTCGGGTGGGAGGGAAGTTATGGGGGGGGAACCATTGTAATCCATAAGCTGTACTTTGGAAATTTATATTCATTAAATAAAAGTTAAAAAAATGAATTCTTAATTTCTCTGAGTCTCAGCATCTTCTTCTGTAAAATGGGAGAGTGGTGCCACTTGTGACATATTTGAAAGAATCCCTGGTGCAGGGCATGTGTGGAAATGGAAAGCAGTGATGGTGGTTGTGGTAACCCCTGGGTCCCAGCTCCTCAACTGTCACCTGTGGAGATTGTACTGAGGAAGCTGTGCAGGCACTGATCCTACAGATGCCGGGTGGATAGGGAAAGGAGGAGGCACCATGAGCCCAGCCGTTTTCTCTCTGGAAATGCTGTGCCCACCCGGAGGACCAGGAAGGTCAGCAGTAACTTGCTGGCAGGGGCTCTTGGTTCAGGGCAGTTTGTAAGGAGTCTGGGGGAGTTAGATCAGAAACTCCCCAAGGGTGGGACCACAGATGGGATGCACTCACTGGTTCAATAAAGACTCAGCAAGGGAGGTGCAGCAGCTGGTGTGCAGTGGACAAAGCTGCAGGGAGATTGGAAAGTAGGGCACTAATCAGTGCCTAAGAACTGGACCAGAAGAGGAACAACAAGAGAGATGGATGGCAGGGAAATTCAGCCCGTGTCTGGAGGCTCAACTTCACCATTTTCACAGATGAACATGTTACAGAAACCTGGAGTGGGAAAAGTCCCTTTGTTCAAACAGGCACCAGAGACAGTGGAGGATCAAAAGCAGTTAATTAACGCCAGTGGGCTCAGTGGGAATCATGTCTTGAGAACTGAGCCCAGAGGCTAGGTTTCTTAGGATATTTATAGGTTCATCAGCATCATACCTTAACTGGCACAGCATTGGTAGGTTTAAATTGCAGCCTGTGACTTAGGGCCACACTTCCAATGGTCGGTGGGTCTGGTATGCTTATAAATGAGATCCCTGGGGGCAGATTTATAGGACAGGTTTATGACTGGAGTTACAGAAAGCAAAGCTTAGGACACCTTCCCTCCCTAGACAAGGTAACAGGGCACAGCTGCTTCACCAGATAATTGGGAGCAGCCTCTTTCCAAGGTTAGCGTGGGAGTCTTCTTTCTTTCCTTTGTGGTTGTGGCCTTATTTCCTCTCTAAAGTTAGATATAAGTTGAAAGCAGTGAAAACAGATTTTACACAGTAACGACTAACTGTAGGCGAAAGGCTGAGTCCTTAATCCGGACAGAGGTGCATGGGTATTTTACTTTATTTTTCTAACTACTTGCTTTTGTCTAACTATGACCTATAAACCTTCTAAGGGATTTGCGTTACTTTTCAATTCTATTTTCTAGCTTTATTGAGGTCTGACATATAAAATATATTGCATGCATTTAATGCATACACCTGCACATGCCCTGGTCCCATCCTCACATTAAACATTGTCAATCTTCTCAACAGGAGAGAGTGGGAGGGTGGCAAGGGCTGGGGATCCAGTGAAAATTCCTGAGGGGTTTGTCAGTGTACCCGCGCTCAGGCCAGCGAGCTGTCAATTACCTAAGTTAGGATTCTGCCTTGATGATTCCATTTCAAAGAATGGCTTCGGCCGGCGCCGTGGCTCCCTAGGCTAATCCTCCGCCTTGCAGCGCCGGCACACTGGGTTCTAGTCCCGGTCGGGGTGCCGGATTCTGTCCTGGTTGCCCCTCTTCCAGGCCAGCTCTCTGCTATGGCCAGGGAGTGCAGTGGAGGATGGCCCAGGTGCTTGGGCCCTGCACCCCATGGGAGACCAGGAGAAGTACCTGGCTCCTGCCATCGGATCAGCGCGGTGGGCTGGCTGCAGCGCGCCAGCCGGCGGCCACTGGAGGGTGAACCAATGGCAAAGGAAGACCTTTCTGTCTCTCTCACTGTCCACTCTGCCTGTCAAAAAAGGCTTGCAGATCCTCAGGAAAGACATCCTAGGGTTGTAGGCGATACATATTTACATCTCAAAGCGACACCAGAAGGATTCTTTTTTTAATAAAAGCTCTAGGAAAAGGAGGTCAGGGGCCTATCTTCAGATCAAATAAGAACTCTCCTGGCAGGGGTGAGCTCTCACTGGCAGACATCTGAATGGAGGGCTGGGGTCATCCTAGGGGCCTGCCATCTGCTACTAGGTACCATGCTAGACATTGGTCCTCTCTCAGAGCAGAGGCCAGGAGGAGTCCTTTCTCCCAGATTCTCAGTGTCCTACCACAAGGCCATCTGACTGATACAACACTCAGAGGTCTCCATCTGTCAGCTTTGATGGAATTGGAAATTGGAGATTGTTAGCGGTCCCTCCACTCATTTCACAAACATTAATTGAGAGCCTTCTATGTTCAGGAGTCTTTAAACTGCGGGTTGTACACTAATTGTTTGGCTTATTCTTCTGCCTTCTACAACATGCAATTTAGCAGAGCCCAGTAAATATTTAGTCGAATTTATTCAATATAATTAAAAAACACAATAAATAAAGAATGTAATTGAAAACACTTTGAAACAGAATGTGAGTAATTTGGGAGTGAAGAGGAAAAAGAAAATGCCAACATTTTCTATCTTTTATTACAGGCTCTGGCAAATTTGGCTTGGAAAAAAAATGTTTGAAGACCACCTGTCAATTTAATTGTCCTGGGAGGTCAAGTGCAATTGCAGCCTTTCCTGAGAGCTGGTCACAGTGCTCCCAGCAGAGCCCAGTGAGGAGCCACAGGGTGACTGTCCTAGGTCCCCCGTTCTTGGAACTTGGTGGAGTCAGAAGAGTCCCCAACGTTGTGAGCCTGGAGTGGAATCCCAGGGAAGAGAGGTTTTGTGGAGAAAGCTCTGAAGGGGCTTCAGCCCAGACACCAACCCACTCTGCTCTCCAGATTGGAAATTTGAATTCTGAAGCAGTTGTATCCCTTCTGGCTTTCTTCATAGGAAAAAGAAACTGAAATTTACCTTAGGGATCACTCTAACTTCTCCTGTCATTCTTAAATATTCTAAAAAAAATTGACTGTTTTCCCAAGTTCAAGGAAGGAATGAATCTCTCCGGTACACCACAGAGGTGATAGTAAAGCTACAATTTTTTGTGTGTCTGATTAACATTGTTGAATAAAAATTTGTATTAGTTTAACATCTATCCAAGCCTAAGAGGTACAAAGAATTGTATTCCTTCTGGATGCTAGGAATAGTCTCCCATCCTGCCAGCTCCACAACCAAGGGAGAGGGTGGTTCTTGGATGATAGAATCATGTGGACGGAGGCCAGGTTGTGTTTGGCAGAGTTGTAACGTTTTCATCAGAGGTGTTGGCATGAGGGCTTCCACCACTGATTTCTCCATTGTTATATCTAAAGATAAGTCAAGCGTGGGTCAGGTTCAAGTCTGGCACAGAACTGAGGTTGGGAGCTATGAGATGTAAGGCTGCTTACACAAAGATGCTTTTGATTTATCTAGTGGTCTTTCCCGTAAATTACCCCCAACATGTCTCAGCAGGTGATTTTGCCTCACAGAGGACAATTTAGCAGTATTAGAAACATTTTAAAAGTTTATTCATTTCTTTATTTGTTTATTTATTAGAGCGAGATGAAGATAGAAAAGAGAAGGTATATGAAGGGAAGAAAAGGGAAGGGAATGGAGGGAAAGGGAAGAGAAGAGGAGAGAGGAGAAGAAAGCTCCCATATGCTGGTTCACTTCCAAATGCCTGCAATAGCTGCAAATGGGCCAGGCCAAAGCCAGGAGTGTGGAACTCAATTCAGGTCTCCCACACAGGTGGCAGGGACCCAACTACTTGATATATCACTTGCTGCCTTCCAGGGTGCACATTAGAGGAAGCTGTAATTGAAAGTAGAGCCAGGACTTGAACCCAGGTACTCTGATGGGGATGCGGGCCCTCCCAAGTGGCTTCTTGGCCATGCACCAAATGCCTGTCCCTTTCTGGAGACATTTTTGATGGTTGTGAGTGGCGGAGGGGATGGTATTGCCTTCCAGAGGGCAGGGAAACTGCTAAACATCATAAAATCCATAGGGCACACCAAACTCTGCAACAAAGAATTACTTGTCTAAGATGTCAGAGTGTCACAGTTGCAAAGTCCCGTTCTATATTTTAAAATAGGACCATGTCCTTGCTTAGGATGACATCTTACACTCAAAGTGTGGTCCCCAGACATCAGCAACATTCGAGATTTTGTGAGAAATAAAAACCCTCAGACCCCAGTCCAGACACACTGGGCCAGAATCTGCATTTTAGCAAGATTTCCAGATGGCTCACAGACATGTTCAATTTTGAGAAATGCTGGTAATATTTGATGAGAACTGCAGAGGTCAAGGCAGAATGACACCTGTGCTCTGGGGTGACCAAGTCAAGAAGAAATTGTACTGGCTTAACTTAGGTAGTACCTTTAAACTTGTAGAAACTCACTTGTTCTCTGTTTTTCCATTTTTTTGGTACTCTTTCAATGGTTTTGCTATTTTTCCCTTATTTCTCCTTTTTTCGCTCTTTCTTCCCTCTTTCTTTTCCAGTTACTGTGCTTCACTGAAGCTGTATCCGTTTATCTTTATCCCATATGTGTGTATTGCTTTTCCTAAGTCTTTAATTTTGAGCCTCTGTCGATGAAAGAAAAAAAAAAGTAACACTTACCTCTTTAATTAAAGGAAATTGTCCTAGAGGGGAGAAGTAGGTAGAATCTGGAAGGTAAGTCATACTCCCTGAAACCTGATAACACAATTAAATTTACCTCCCTGCCCTGAGCCTTCAGTGGTGACATATTAAAAAAGGAAGGCAATAAAACTCATCCAATACTAATTTAATCAGAAGCCCTGTGCAATCAGTCTCTTTGATGTACCTTTTGTCAACACAGCTTTAGGTTTTGAATAGGCAATCTAAAACCCTGGAAATTTACCATATTGACTTACAGCAAAATTTCTGCTGAACCTAAGTATAATAATAGAACTGATTAAAAATAAAACTTAGTCTGCACACCATGCCAATCCACTGTGAAATTCTGGAGCCCTTTAGATATTTTATTTAGAAATTTTCTCTTTGTGACAGGTTCACCATCTGTTAGATCCATGTTTCTCTACAGCAAATAGGAGCTAACATTTTTAATTATTAAATAAATTTAAGTTCAGAGTGATAAACATTTGACAAATGCCTATTGTTTACAAAATGCTAGAATAAGAATTGAAGAAAATTTTAAAAGATGAAGATACAATCCTTACCCTAGTTCATAATCGGGAGTGTCTGTGCATGTACCTGTGTGTGTTGAGATGAATAAGAAAATGCACAGGATTGGGGCTGGTGCTGTGGCGTAGCAGGTAAAGCCACCGCCTGCAGTGCCAGCATCCCGTCTGGGTACCGGTTCTAGTCCTGGCTGCTCCACTTCTGATCCAGCTCTCTGCTATTTCCTGGGAAAGCAGTAGAGATGACCCAGACACTTGGGCCCCTGCACCCACATGGGAGACCTGGAGGAGGTTCCTGGCTCCTGGCTTCAGATCAACACAGCTCTGGCTGTTGAGGCCATAGAAGATAGAAGACCTCTCTCTCTGCCTCTGCCTCTCTGTAACTCTGCCTTTCAAATAAATAAATAAATCTTTTTTTAAAGAAAATGCACAGGAATTGATGGAGAAATAAGCATGCCTTGTATTTCTCTGATCTGGTGAAATGCTTCTGAGATCAAAAGAAAATGACTGAGAAGTTTGCAGTTCCCAAAAATCTGTGGTTTTCTCAACATGTCCCAGGACATCAATTAGATTGGCTGCATTGCCCATGGTCCTAGCTAGTTGTTTAGTGCAACATCTACCTAGCTTCTTGAGCTGTAATCAATGTTGAAGATGTCTGTGGGTATCTCAGAGGCCTAGGCTGCAGAGGTTGTGTGATTGCCCTGCCAACTGGGATGCAAGACAGGTTTGCTGGAAGCTTCTGTATGTGGGCTGTCCTTCAGTTTCTGCAGATCTTATTAGGGAAGTACTGCCCCTGTGGTCCCAGGTAGATGCAGTACAGTGTGCTACAGTCAGGTGGAGCGCATTTCAGTGTCTGAAGGCTTGCACAGGTAACTGCATGGCCCCTGCTCAGGGAGGTCTGCTCGGCTGCTTCCCAGGGCTGAGGGTGGGTATGAAGAGCCTACAATGTGCTTCCCAGGGCTTCAGTGAACAGAGCTTCTGAGAAGGGGCTGTTCACTGCTCCACAGGACCACAGGAGGTTCTGCAAGGCACTCCAATTGCTTCCTGGGGACCTGTGCAGGTAAGCCAACTAGGAGAAACTGCTCAGCTGTTTCCTAGGGTTATGGATGCATGGGGTGGGCCACTTGCTTGCTACTCTGGGTCTCTGTGGGCCAATCTGCTCAGGGCTGATGACTAATTGTTTCCCAGGGGGAGGGTGCATGTGTGGGACCTCTTGCCTGCTTCCAGGACAGCAGAAGGGTGGGCAGGATTGCCTGAATATTTTTAGGCAGGCTCTGCAGGCAGAGAAAGTTGGGGGTAAGATGCCCAAATTCAGAGGGTGGGGAGGGCCGCCAGGCTGGTGCACAGGGCTGGGTTTTCAGAGTTTCCTGCAAACAGCTTGACTTTGTGCAGCAAGCTGGGCGAGGGGCAATTGGACTGGGCTCTTTCTCTGGGGCAATGCAGTGGCTGGGTAACTTGGCACCTCCTTGAACTGGACTTAGGGCCTGGGAGGGCCTCTGGTTCTCAAGCAGTGAACGCATTAGTTCTCTGTGGTGTGAGATTTCTAGGGGCCTCCTTCTTACCCTTTCACTGCCAAGTGGAATTCCCATCGGATCAGTGCTGATCTCGAGATGCATGGCAGGTGCTCTGTGCTCGGTTCCCTTCTTTTCGAGGCCATTTTATATCTCCGTGCTTGGCAATGTCTGGTTCTGTGCACACTTTTTTTACCTCACTCCCAAGTGGGAGGGGTCTTCTCCCTGCTGTGGGTCTTGAGGTGGGGGAGGGGGCTGGAGGAAGTCCCTTGGCCAGCAGTTTAATGAGGTTCCTGAGGTTCAGTCTGAGAGTATTAGCCCAGAGGCAGGGACCCTGGGGCTGTGCTAGACACTTGGTTCACTGTGCTGACCTCAATTCCCTCTTCATCCTGTGCGGCTTGAGCTTTGGAGAACAGTGATATGGGCAACTCTTCTTTCTGCCTTCTTCAGTGGATCTGTTCTTATTTTATGCTAAAAGCAGACACTATGGTCTCATGTGGCTTTCCCAGTTCTTGGAAAAGTGGATAGGTGTGCAAATAGTTCAAATTGGTGTCTCTTTGGAGAGAATCTTACTCAATCACCACCTGTTCATCCTACCTGGAATTTCCTTATACATATACATATATATTTAAGATTTAGTTTATTTGAAAAGCAGAGTTACAGAGAGAGAGGGAGAGAGGGAGGGAGGGAGGGAGAGAGGGAGAGAGAGAGGGAGAGGGAAAGAGAGAGGGGAGAGAGGGAGAGACAGGTCTTCCATCACTGGTTAACTTCCCAAATGGCTGCAGAGGCCAGAGCTGGGCTGGTCTGAAGCTAGGAGCAAGGAGCTTCTTCCAGGTTCCCATGTGGGTGCAGAGGTCTAAGTACTTGCCCATCTTCGGTTGCTTTCCCAGACACATTATCAGGGAGCTGGATCAGAAGTGGAGCAGCCAGTACTCGAACCCATCCCATGTGGGATGCTGGCACTGCAGGCGTTGGCTTTACCTGCTACGCCACAGCGCCAGCCCCCGAGATTTATTCTTTTTGATAGCGGATCTAAGTCAAACACAGAAGACAATGAAACTGGGGTTAAGTGTCTCAAAGAATCTGCTAAAAGCAATATGTGATGATTGTTTTCTCGATTAATTGAACAAAATGTGTCTTATTGAGAAGTGACTTCTTAAAAATAATTCCTGTAATAGTCATCATGCAAATTTCTTCACCTGACATCTATTGAGACTTTAATAAGGCTCTAGAAGTGATTTTCAACTTTTATCTGAGATCTAATCAATATGCAAAAGGACAGATACTATCTGGAAATGATGAATAATCGGAAAGTGAGTCCTTGTGCTTACACCCTGTGACCTTGCAAATGATGATTTGTGCCAAAAATTACATCAGTATTTGGAAGAGTTCCCAAAGAAATTCAAATGAAATTGAGTCATACTAAAATTTTATTCCATTAGGCAATTTCATTTAAAGATTCACTTTACAGATAAAACTGGTTTTATATGGTAAGCTTCATAGAGTAGTTCCATCTTTTGAGGTTGGAAGGTGTGTCCTCACTATCTGATATGAAGACTGCCAAAGTAATGAAGGATGTGCATTCACTATCATATACAATAGGCTACTTTATTAATAATGCTGGCCTTGAATTTTCCGAACATACTTTTATTTGCCATAAATTCCATACATGTCATTCCCTTTCTGAAATGAATCCTGTGTTCAGTTTCTCATAGACAGCTTCTCAGCGCTTTCTGGTCCTGCAGTGCTGGCCTGCTTTTGGCTTGTAATTGCAATTTGGGGAAATTGGTTAGGTGGTTTTTGGTTTGTTTGTTTGTTTTAAATGAGTAATGAAAAGCCTTCTTTGGAGCACTCAAGGTGAACTGACAATTTAGGGATCTTAAAAGCTGGTTAAGGAAACTCTTTAAAAAAATTCAAAAATTCGGCTTTTGAGAAAATAAGCATAAAATAACCACATTTTGAGGAATACTGGATGGATCTATTTTTCCTTTGCTGCGGGATCATTTTTTGCTTCCAGTTTTTCACCTTCAAGTCTGAACCTTAAAGTCAAGAGGTAAGAGGTGGGTGGGTCCCATCTGGGGAAAGTGATTGTACCCTGCGTCTTCAGTATCCTTCCCGGTAAGTCCTGGCCATCAGGGAAGGTAGAGACGAGGGCCTATTGTATTGGGAGGGAGGAGGAAGCAGAGGCACAGGGAGTGAGGATCTGCATCAGCTTCCAGGCCATGGTGCTCCAAGTGGAGACAGTTGAGGCAGGTGGAGACTAGAGAGGAAAGAAGATTGGGTTTTGCCCTATTTCCTTCTTAAGAGGAGGAAATCTCACAGAGAGGTTCCCCTCTTTAACACTGTGGGCAACTGCAGAGTTAGGTGAGTGAGTGAGGGCTTAATTCCCCAGAATGTCTAATTTCTAGACGCTTCTATGATGCTATGAGCTCTAGCTAGATAGCCAATGGTACTGGTAGGTGAGCTTATTGGGAGAGGCATTAATAGGGCAGGCAAGGAGACCCCCTAAGCAGGGGTAAGGTGGCCTCACTAGACTGGACGTGGAATGAGCTGAAGATCAGGGGTCACCAAGTCTGTAACTGTCTGATCAGCTGAGAAAGTCCTGGCAATTCTTCAGGTGCAGACCATGGGGCTAGATGCCAGCCATGGGATCCAGGGACTGGAGGGCTGGAGGGGCAGGCATGTACTGTAGGGACCTTGAGCTGCTGTGGAGCAGGGGAATGACCTGTGCAGGACATTCAGAATGCTCTGCCTTACGCAAGGACATTCTTTGTTTAACGACATTTGCCAATGGGGTTAAATTCATATTTCTTTATTCTCTTGATACCAAGAACTGCAGACAATGGAGTAGCAGAAGAGATTTCTGGGCACAACTGGGTGCAGGAGATAGAATGGCAGGGGATGGACTGAGAG